TCACTGCACATTGGGCATACCCATGCGTGCTCAGTTCTCCGAAGCAGCAGCCACTCCAGAGTATTTCTACTAATTGTCCCCATAAGAAGCTGGTTATATTGTCTCCTTTCTCGGCCTCGAAGACGGCAAAGACGTGCATCACCATGCTTAACTCCCATGTCACGCAATCGTGTTAGTGTCAGGGATTCTTTATTCTCCACTAGCCCAGTTCATACAGCGTTGACTATATCTGCTCTGTCCATACTTTTCCCCGCAATCATTAGTGCAGTGCTTGCCAGTTGGTCTGCTCGCTCATTTCCCTTCACGCCCGCATGACCCGGTGTGTAGATCCAGGTTACAGAGGTTAAGTGCGATTTCCGAATGCTTTCTATCCATTCAGAGCGCATACTGCCTGTTGCTATCTTCTGAAGCATATTCCTTGAGTCTGAGACAATTACTACCTGTGTGGCGGTTTGCTCGGATACCCATGCTAAAGCTCTAGAAGCAGCGGCTATTTCCATTGTCATGCTTGACGTGGTTGTCTGGTAAGCGCCGCTGTCCTCATGTATTGTTTTCCCCCTTTCTTTGCGCTCTGTATGCCCATGCTGACCTTGATCCGTGCTTCACGGATCCATCTGTGTAGATGATGGTATCTTCTGGGTCTGAATGCTGATCTATCAGTTCCCTTACTTCTGTGTCTACGGCCGCAGGAATTTGATCCCTGCAGTACCTTCCGAGTGTGATGACAACCTTAGAGATGTCATGCATGTCTACTGGTGTATTCGTACATTCTTTTCCGTGACTGATCACGTCTAGGTCACATACCTGCTGGATTAAGTCCTCAGCCTTTGCTATCCAAGAGCGGCCTCTTTTGAGACGCGTTCCTTTTGTGTCGTATATAGCTTTGTGTAATGGGTGGTTAACGTCTGCCGATACCCTCATGTAAACCTTGACCTGTGCCACTTTGTATCTGCTAGTCATAGTCGGCAGACCCAGGACATAACGCATGGCGTTGCAGGAGGTGTCTTTTGTGCAGCCGAGTATGAGTCTCATGGCCTCATTCTGTACTCGGTCCAGTCTTTCTAGCTGGGTTCTGCTAACAGTGAGGAGGCCAAGACCATAGTCAATGACGCTAAGCACAAGCCATTGATAGAGAAGGAAAAGTAGATGTTGTTCAATATCAGCTGCTGCTAGCACCTTGAGTGCTGTCAAACCTTTCCTGGCTCTAAGTATGACGTTGTCTACGTGGCATCTGTCTACAAGCATCTGTCAAATGTCATTCCCAGGTATTTCATTGTGTCCGTTCTCTCAATGTCCACACCACAGATGCTTACGACTGGCGTTGGTGTACTAACGATGTGGGTATTCAGAGAGAACCATGTTAAGGAGGCTTTGGACGGGTTCACCTGAGCTCTTGATTCCTGGCACCACTCACTAAGTCTGTCTAGTTCGTGTTGTAGTGTGGTTGTAAAATTCCTGCCTGTTTTTACCTCGACGGTAAACAAGGATATCATCTGCATATGACATTGTTCTGCCTAGGCTTATGCGTTGTGCACTCGTGACTCCTGTTGTGTACACATTGAAGAGCACAGGCGACAATGGTGATCCCTGGGGCAGACCCATTAGGACGCGTTGAGATTCGGATGTCATTCACCACATCGAAGCGACACTGTTCTTTCAAATAGCGCTGCTGCGATCCAGTTGACCACAATTGTTTCTATCTGCATATCCAACACCAGTCTGATGAGCGTGTTGTATGGGACCCTGTTGTACGCATCTTCTAAGTCAATAGCGGCTGCAGCCGTTTCTATTCCCTCCTGGAAACCCTCATATGTGTCGTAGGCAAATACTGCAGCATTGCACCATGTATCTCTTCCTGGTCGGTACCCACCTAGTGTAGCGGGGAATAGGCCACCCGACTCCAATATTTGGGTTAACGTTCTGGCAACGATTTTTTCCATGAGTTTTACTACAGTGTTCTGGAGTGTGATGAGTCTGTAGCCATTTATTCTCGTGTGGTCTTTTCCTGGCTTAGGAACCGGTCTGAGGTAGCTGTGGAGCCAGTAATCAGGAATAATGCCAGTTTTCATGGTGTTGTTAAAAATCGTGGATAGTTCATCAATATCTGTCGCCTCGAGGCTTTTGAAGTCGCTGTATCTAATGCCATCAGGCCCTGGAGCTGTATTCGGACAGGTCTTCAGTGTTGCTCTGATGCAGTCCGTTGAGATGTATACTGTATCATCAACTTCATCCATTTCAGCCATCTGGATATCATGTAAACTGTCTCATCTGCTCCCTCTCTTCCCTATCTTTCTTTTCCGTCTGCAGAAGAAATCTGTGCAGGATAGCCTCGCCCTTGTCTTTATCCGATTGTAACACCACCCCGTTGTCCATCTTTAGCTCGGGCATAACAGAGGTTTGTTTGCCTCCGTTCATCTTTTGGTGGAGCCGCCAGAATTTTGTGAGGGATTTTTCATAACCTATTTCTTCGCAAAAATGTTCCCACATTGTGTGCTTGGACTCCTTTGCGAGTTGTTTAAAATGTTCAGTGAGTCTGTCTTTTTTGTGTTTAATGTCTTGTTTCTGCGTCTCAGTAAAATTCGAAGACTTTCTGCATTTCTCCCAGTCTTTGGTGGCACCTCGTTTCTCTGTCCAGGCTTCTGCGACTTCAGGTGTCCAGCACGGGTGCTGTTGAAAGATAGCTTTCTTCTTTCCCGGTGTTCTGCGTGACCTGTCTCGCAGACGCCCAATTACATTAGACTGATGTGCAGCGTACTGGAAAGTAGTGGCTGGTCTCTGATACCTTGTGCAGATTGTTTGTTTGACCAGAATCCAACATGGAAGGTGGTCGCTTCCATGATGTCCCAGTACGCCCCACTGGCAGAGTGCACTCATACTGGGAGAGACCAGGTGAGATCAAGGGCACTGTCAGTATCACCCTTTCTGTCGGAGATTCTGGTGGGTCTGCCATCATTCAAGCAGATTAAATCCGTGTCTGTTAGTGCTTCCTCCAATGCCTCGCCCTGTTTATTGACCGTCGGATTGCCCCATAGACGACCTTTGGCGTTGAAGTCCTCACACATAATGATGTCGGTGGTTATCTGCTCGCTCATGTCACTTAATATTTGTCAACTTTATCATTACAGGCATAGATGTTGATTAGAGTGATAACCTAGAATGTCCTTTCACTTGAAACTGGGTAGTTAGCGTCCTTTGGATAGTTTCTCCAGGTAATGCCGGCGTGTTGGGAAATAAGCAGGCAGATAGACTGGTTGGCTCTGCACCACTTGGTGGTGAATTGATGTATGACAAGTTAGATATTGTAAGGGCCCTTTGGGAACGGGTGAACAATGCGGAGGCGCTGCGAGGTTTTACCAGTGGACCTGCCCGACGCTCAGGGGAAGGATGAGACGGATATCAATCAGACGGTTACTGGCACCAACGGAATTGGAACTCTTCGCTTGCTGTTGATGATGGGGACTGAGCACTTATGAAAGCGTCCCGAGTGCCGTGATGTCGGTGCTTAAATCAACATTCAACACTCACTGAAACTGACAGATAGATATATAAAGGGAGAACTAAAACACATTTAGAAATAGAGGCAGCAATGAATGCTATGGGTAGGACATGGAGGGAGTGCAGGTCTGGCAAAGGTTAGGACGGCCTGACAGCAATTTGTTGAGGCCATATACGCCAGTGGGGAAAAAAGGACAGGGTGACCCGTCCCACTGTGGGACGCAATTTTTCCTAATAAAACCCCTATGGGTTGAACGGGGTTTCTGGGACGTGTACCCTGTTGATCCTCATCTGAATGGTGGCACTTTGTGTTACCGGGTGTTGGTCGCTCGTTTTACGGTCCTGGTGGGGTTGAACAACACACACACACACGTGCACACGCGCGGACAGAGGATAAAGACAACTAAAAACATATATCTAATATGCCTTTCAAGTACAGAAGATGACCTGTTATTTTTTTTTTTAAACATCAACATCTGATGGCAACAGTTACATGTCGCCATTGTATCATATTTGGATTCGATTTCTAATGATATTGACAAATGGGGGATGTTGGGGGAGGGGGGGGGGGTCTGGTTATGGAAGCTACAATATCTGACAACAGTACAGGAGAAATGCATCACCAGTAGTTGTCCCGTGAAGTAAAATTTCATTTATAAACTGAATGCTGGGAAAGAGCCATATCATCAGCTGTCTTTTTTTTTTTTTTTTTGCCCTTTGCGGCCCCTCTTCCCCAATCCGTGGAGCATGGGCCCTCAGCCATTCTGCACCAGGTGGTCTTTTCCTTCGATATTGCTTGTAGCTCACCTGTGTCCTCCATATGTTTGTGTTTTAACTTCACTATGAATCTTCGTCTGCAGGTTGGGTGGGTTTTTTTTTTTTTTTAATTTTTTCCCCATTTGGGTTGTAGTCTTCTTCTTCTTCTTCTTCTTTTCCGCGTTCACTGACTGTAAACTCCAGCCGGAAATTTTGGTTGTACGAGTACATCCACTCCTGGACTGAAATCATGGTCAGGAGCCTGAGTTTTGCCTGCACATCCGTTTTTAAATCTGAGTTACTTTTATACAGACTGTTGGTTCCTCGCCTCTCAGGCAGATGGACTCTGACTTCAAAGGAAACATCCATAATTAGTCGACTCTTATGACAAGTTTGTTAGAGGGCAGTGGGTCTAATCTGCGGGCACAGTGGGAACCCAAAACCCACACGGAAATTAGTTCTAATGGAATGAAACTCCAGTGATAATGTTAACAGGTTTTTTTATAGTGTGCCCTAGCCAACACCACCGTCTCTTTCCCACCTTTTAATTTACTGGAATATGTTTAATTGTCTCATTCCACACTGAATTAATGATTCTGTCATATCATGTAATTGCCTCTTTTCTGTGCATGCACCAGTTAATTTGTGAAGTTTATTAGTAAATGTTTTAGTTGTCCTCCGTATTTAAATTTCTTACAGTAGTGCTGATTTGTATGTTTACCTTGCGTTGGTTTCTTTTTTTGTCACAGAACAAGCCACTATGGAGGATCTACAGATTAGACCCCACCTGCTGTTTGTTCACTCCTACAAGTCCCCCCACTTCTGTGACTTTTGTGGGGAGATGCTGTTTGGACTGGTCAAGCAAGGCCTCAAGTGTGATGGTGAGTCTGACTGTTAGGCATTGGATAGGGACATCACCTCAAGTGTGATGGTGAGTCTGACTGTTAGGCGTTGGGTAGGGACATCGCCTCAAGTGTGATGGTGAGTCTGACTGTTAGGCATTGGATAGGGACATCACTTCAAGTGTGAAGGTGAGTCTGACTGTTAGGCATCGAATAGGGACATCGCCTCAGGTGTGATTTTGAGTTACTATTAGGCATTGGATAGGGACATCACTTCAAGTGTGAAGGTGAGTCTGACTGTTAGGAGTTGGATAGGAACATCGCCTCAAGTGTGATGGTGAGTCTGACTGTTAGGTGTTGGATAGGGACATCGCCTCAGGTGTGATGGTGAGTGACTATTATGCATTGGATAGGGACATCACCTCAAGTGTGATGGTGAGTCTGACTGTTAGGCATTGGATAGGGACATCACTTTGTAGAAGAACTGGTCAGAAAGTCTCCAGTTTAATCTGCTTTGTGATTTCTGAAATTATTTTTAACATTGAAATTTGTTTTCCTTTCTCACATATCTCTCTCTCCATCTGTGTGTGTGTGTGTGTGTGGGGGGGGGGGGGGGGGGGGGGGGGGGGTTCTACCACTTCTTCCTCTTCCATCTCCTTCTTTTACCCCTTCTCCATTTGTCTCCCTGTGTCTCCTCAATCTATTTTCTTGAATTCTAATTATTTGTGAAGCATTTTTTAATATCTCCCAATATTAGTGATTAACTCATTTGCATTTATTTCAGCTATTTTTAAAACAGAAACTGTTTTCTGTATAGTCCCATGCCAGATTTGCAGAATTTTATCAAGAAGTTAAAATAGCATAGTGATAATAATTCCTCTGCTGTTTCAGGATGTGGGTTGAACTTCCACAAAAGATGTGCATACAAAATTCCCAACAACTGTGCTCATGACAGATACAGGCGTCACTCCTCCTCCAGTGTCTCCTTCACTTTGCCCATAAAACAAGAGGCTACCAGTATGCAGAGCTGCGATAATTCTGTACAGGTAACCTCACTTTGGTTGTTTATTTGTTCCAGTGACTCTAAACTATGTAATCATAATTATAACCAGTTTGCATGTTTTCAATTCTTATAACATTTCGTTTTCAACACTCATTAGTGAAATGAATAACAACTGGACAGGGAACAAGAGTGAAATGTGTTCAGAAACAAATGCAACATTAAATGGGATATGCGTTCAGAAACAAATGCAATATTAAATGGAATGCCTTGCAGAAAGGCAAACAATTAAGAGAAGTATCTAGGAAACTGCTAATTTAGTAGATATCGGACTGAGAAGATGGTGATACATTTAGAACATCATGAGGTAAAGTGAATATAAAGTAATTGGGACTAGTCTGTAATTGGACAATTAAACTAGTGAATGGTTGGTTAAGTAAATGGAACTAGTTTTAAGCAAGTAAGTGTATTAAATTATTATGCATAGCTTGATAACAGCAGATTTAAGATGAATTTTTAAAAAGTTGAATTATTAGTAGGCGAGCAAAAGCAGCATTTCATAGGATAAAAAATATTGTCTCTGAGATTAGAAAAATAGTTGTGTGTTGAATATTAAATTAAGAATCAACATCACAGCACTCAGGACACTCCCATCAGTGCTCAGTCCCCATCTTCAGCAGCTATTGAAGAGTTCCAATTCTGATGGTACCAGTAACCATCTGATTGTATATCTGTCTTATTCTTCCCATAAGTGTTGAGTGTCCACCAGATCCCCTGGTAACTCCTCAGACTGAAATGATCTATCTATTTTATTTTTTTCTGCGTGACTCCTTTAGGACATCCCCTGCCTCTTTCCTAGCAAGTAGGCAATACTAGGGTGACAGTTTACTTCCCGCATTGAAAGAATACCTTCTGTGGATTTTGTACTTAATAGAAAAATAGTTCCTAATACCTGAGAAAATTGATAAGCATTAAATGGATTGCATTTAAGAAAGATGATGAAAAAAAGAGAAATGTCTGGACCACTACTAGTATCAACAGTTAAAAGACAAAGAAGATATAGTGGTTTATGAGGCACTTCATGAGGAGAAGCAATCAGAGAATTACCTAACAGGCACTCAGATGGGAAACAAAGGAATTGAGGAAATGATGCTATCAAAAAGAAACCCTAAGACAGAAGTTACTGAGGGAAGCCAAAGGTGTTACACTGGATTCTAGCTATGATATTAAAAACATTGAATGGGAGAACAGACTAGGAGCCCTGTGTGATTTCTTAATAGCACAACTGAATGATGAGGATTTGTTCTGGTTCTGTGTTTTTTGGTTCTAGTTCTATGCTTAACACTTCTAATTTATAAATGTGATATGCCTGACTTGCTAGCTCAGTTAGTTAAACGTGACTGTGCGGCAACCACAGGATGAACTCCTTGTGGTCTGGGTTCACACCCTGGGGTAGGCAGAAAAGCTACATTTATCCCAAATTTAAAGTATCTGTCATGGAATCAAGGCCAAATGGTTGTGATATCCATAGTACTGAGCCAAATGGTTTACAACTCATGGTTTCTGGATACTTGCTGCTGTGAGAATTCTCAGGATCTCTATAAAAATTATACTCATGCACCAAATGGCGCAGTCTGTGAAACAGCCACAGAATTATCAGCTGGCCAGCTGCTATTTAATAAACCATGTGACTGGGTCCATCAAATTTTTCACCTGTAAAAAAGAGACAGTGTTCTTTGATCATGCGACAAGGAGGGAAAATGGAGAACAGGGTAACTAATCGAAAAATGTGTGGTAGTTAAAGCTGAAACAGAGGAAGAAAATTCTGCTTGGCAGTCTAAGAGAGTAGTGTGAGGCATACCACTAGTAGAACTGATCGACAACACCAAGGACCTACTGTATTTTTCCATGTATAGAATAATGTTTTACCAAATATTCAAAGTTTAAAATAAGGGTTGTCTTATACATAGGGACATTGTATACATGGAAAAATGCATAACATCTGTGGAAAGACATAAAAATGCCTATGCCAGCTGGCAAAATACAAGATGGTGATTTTTTATACTGATATTTTATATAGTTTACTGAAGATTTTACTAATCTGTCCTTCAGTATAATACTATTTTAACATTTATGCCTAAAACTCAAGTCAAATATATTCACAAGAGTATTGTTTTGTTTTTTCTGCCAGAATCTTTTGAGTGTCCCATCTCAGCCAACTCCACCTTCTCCTAGCAGTACACGCTCAAAGTCCTGGACAGGAAGACCCATCTGGCTGGAGCGAGAGTATGCCAGCCGCATCAAGGTTCCACACACATTTGTTGTCCATAACTACAAAAAGCCCACTCGGTGCCAGTGGTGCAAATGCTTGTTAAAGGGAATCATTCGCCAGGGAGTGCAGTGCAAAGGTATGCTTCTATAATTTCAATGGTATTTTTTTTTCCTGATTTATAAAACTTGAATTTTCTTTGTATTTGAACTGTCCTCTTTAGCTTCTTTCTTTCGAAGATTATATTTTATATATACATATTTTTTTTTTTCAATATTGGCCTCCTAATATAACCAGAATGTTTAAGCCTGTGTATTATCAAGTCCATATTAGCTTACTTGTCTTAACTGGCCTGTTTTAGACCTTTTCCATTAAACTGACTGTTTTAACCTCCCTTCTTTTAAACAGTAGGTTTTAGCTTCTTTCTTTCAAATAGAATGTTTTTAGCTGTAAACAGTTTTTATCTTTTAAATAGTTTCCAATTGGTTATGGCAATTCAGCAATTGTGAATGTAAATAGGAAGGTTTTAGCCTATTTATCTTCTTCTAACAGACAGTAAAGATCTCTTTTATGACCAACTGCGGCATCATGTATATAAAATTGCTAAACAAAACCTAGTGGTAGTAATGGGAGGTTTTAACGCAGAAGTAGGTAGTGAAAATATTGGTGCTGAGAGAGCTTTGTGAATGGCATCCACAGCTTCTAAAGGCCTGAACACAATATCAAACTCTGAATTGTATAGTTTTAAAACCAAGTTACATATTTTAAATAATAATGTTCTTTAAATTGATTTAAAATATGGGTATTGAGAAAGCTTTGGGAATGGCATCTACAGCATTTAACAACCTGAAGACAATATGGAACTGTAAATTGTAGTTTTAAAACCAAGTTGATTGTGAAACCGGACTCTATTCCATCCAAGATATCAAAGGAATTGCACCAAATAGAACGGATTGGAGGAATAGACTGTGAGCCCTATGTGGTATGTAATGGTACAGGTCAGTGATGATGATTAATAGTCAGTGGCATCTGGTGTTGGTCATGTCCACTCACAGCCTTCTGCTTCCTGTTTTGTCAGTCATTTTTGATACAATATTCTTCCTTGCCATGATATTAAAGTGTTGCATATTCGCTCTCTCTCTCTCTGTCTCGACCCCCCCTTCTCCCTGGCCCCCTTCCTTCCCTACCCCACTTTCTCCCATTCTTTTACCCACTGAGAAACTTTGTTTTTAGATTCTTTCGGATTTATAAATATAGATTCACATTGTGATTTTGTGCATGGGGAAAAAAATGCATGACCAGAAAAAAATTGTTAAATGCTGTTCAACATGTCTGTACATCCAGAAGTTGTCAGCAACTGGGTCATGACATTTCATTGAATGCAAAAACTACGTTTTATCAGGTTTTTAAAAAAAAATGTGATCTTTAATTAGGGTAAATTTAAATTGTCTGATCTTACTTTTCCTGTGCATTTTATTTTCTGTTTCCAATTATTTAATATTTTTTTCTTTTTAACTACATTAAGTACTAGTTTCTTTTGTTCTTTGTTTTCCAATTAATTTAATCAAAAAGAATTGTAAACCTTAAATTCTGCTGCTTCTTTCATTCCATTTTTTTTATTTTTATTTTTATTTTAAATTGTGATGAATCTACACTCTTGAAACAAGACGCAATTTTTCGTTATTTTAAAGCCCCACCCTGGCTGTAGTTTGAGCCCTAATATAACCTAACGGTTGAACAGGATTTGTGGGACCTCTCAATGGGTGATCCTCATCCAAATGATGGAACTTTGTGTTTATCACTCATTATGATGTCCTTTTTATGCCTTTCCTGACTAAGCGAATATTTTAAGTATCTGTTCATCTTATGTTTCACTTTTTCTCTAGTGTCTAAAAGATGCAGCTCTGTTTTCTGTTACTTTGTAGGCTGTATTTATTTATATATTTTTTTTTTGCACAGTGTAGTTGTAGACCAGAGATACTCCTTTATTTGTTAAAAAATAATGGAGCTGAAGTTCACAATGATTCTATCAATATTGTCTGCTACTTCTGTTTCCCCCTCTCCGTCTTTTCTTTTTCTCACTTTCTCTTCTCATCCTTCTTATTCTTCTTTTTCTTGTCCTCCTCCTGCTCCTCATCCGTTCTCCTTATTCTTCTCCTCTTCCTCCTCCACCTCCTTCTTCTTCTTATTATTATTATTCTTTTTTTTTTCTTCTTCTTCTTTTTCTTTTTCTTCTTCTTCTTTTTATTCTTCTTCTTTTTCTTCTTCTTCTTCTTCTTCTTTTTTGTCTTCTTCTTCTTCTTCTTCTTCTTCTTCTTCTTCTTCTTCTTCTTCTTCTTCTTCTTCTTCTTCTTCTTCTTCTTCTTCTTCTTCTTCTTCTTCTTCTTCTTCTTCTTCTTCTTCTCTTCTTCTTCTTCTTCTTTTTCTTCTTCTTCTTCTTCTTCTTCTTCTTCTTCTTCTTCTTTTTCTTCTTCTTCTTCTTCTTCTTCTTCTTCTTCTTCTTCTTCTTCTTCTTCTTCTTCTTCTTCTTCTTCTTCTTCTTCTTCTTCTTCTTCTTCTTCTTCTTCTTCTTCTTCTTCTTCTTCTTCTTCTTCTTCTTCTTCTTCTTCTTCTTCGTCTTCTTCTTCTTCTTCTTCTTTTTTTCTTCTTCTTCTTTTTTCTTCTTCTTCTTCTTCTTCTTCTTCTTTTTTTTCTTCTTCTTTTTCTTCTTCTTCTTCTTCTTCTTTTTCTTCTTTTTCTTCTTCTTCTTCTTCTTCTTTTTCTTCTTCTTCTTCTTCTTCTTCTTCTTCTTCTTCTTCTTCTTCTTCTTCTTCTTCTTCTTCTTTTTCTTCTTCTTCTTCTTCTTCTTTTTCTTCTTCTTTTCTTTCCTAAATGTTACTCCTGCTGATTTGCATTCTGTGGGATTAACATCTCAAGGCTGAGAATCAAAAAGCTCCCTGACATATCCCTGAAACCCCCATTCATCAATATGGCCATATTGCTAAGTTATAGTGGGGCACCCTAAAATTGTTTCAAAATAACTTGTAGTCTAAAATAGATGGATGATAATGGGAGACTTCTTCTTTACTCATTTATATTCAACTGTAGCATACAGTTTCAACCAAGTCATGCCCAGCTTTTCTATATTTTATCATCTCTTACGGTGCCTGCATATGTCTTAACCATAATATTAATCTCTGACTATGATTCTCAACTCCGTTGTTTTAAAAAACTCTCTGTGTATATCTTTTGTCCTGTAGGTTCCCGTGAGAAGGCATTCTAATTATTCTAATGTCAAGTTGTTCTCAATGTGTCTGTAATCTGCCACTAGCCTCTTTTCCTCAGCTCATGAATTTTTAAACTTGTTTAGTTCTCTCCCTTAATTCTGCCTGTGATTATATATGAGCTATTTTGGACGTGTTAAACATTATGGTGGCGAGGCAAGAACAGTGATGGAGACTGACGTGGCCAGGCAAAAACAGTGATGGAGGGTGACCTGGCCAGGCAAGAACAGTGATGGAGGGTGATGTGGCCAGGCAAAAACAGTGATGGAGGGTGAAGTTTTCAGAAAACAAGGCAGAGGCAGACCTCAGTAATAGTGGATACAAGACATTGACGATGCATTCGCTATGAAAGCATATTTTGTGCAAGTAAGATAGTCTGATGTTGATTACAATGACTGGAAATTTCAAAGGTTTTAAAGACAGGTTGAAAATGTTGTATGATTTGACAAAGTAACATTCAGGGTGAACAGCAGTTGAACTTACCAAGAAAACAGAAGACACATGTTTATAGAAGACTGCATATGCTGCTGTTCATAGTATATGATGATGATAGTTTCATTCAGTCAATCAGTCAGGTGCCATCTGCACAATGAAAGTTGGCTGCAATGGATCTCCAGTCTGCCCTGTCTCTTGTCTGTTGTCTGGTTTGTACACTCTTTCAGACTGCTGTCCGTCTATCTCTTGATGTTGTCCTGCCACTTGTCTCAATGCTTACCTCTTGCTCTTTTGCCTTCGAACTTTTTCTCCAGTATGGTTTTTAAAATCATGTTAAATTTTTCAATGTGGCCGAAGAATTTCAATTGTCTCTTTTTTTTATTAGTGTTCATTACTTTGTTTTGAAGTTACTTTGTGTTGAAGTTTAAGGTTCAAGTAAACTTAATTTCACTTCATATGATTGTAACACAATTTTCTCAACAGACTGCAAATTTAACTGCCATCGTAAATGTTCAGTATTGGTACCCAATGACTGTGCTGGAGAGCTGCCCTATGATGGTAATGAAGGTAAGCTTATTTATATTATTCTTGTGATACGAGGATTTTGTTTTTTAAAAAAAAAATTTTTTTTTTTTGCTAGAGATGTTAAAATTAGTTTTTACAGTAGAAGCCATTTGTACATATCATATGACAGCAGGAGCCACATGTACATATCATATGCCAGCAGGAACCACATGTACATATCATATGACAGTAGGAGCCACATGTACATATCATTTGACAGTAGGAGCCACATGTGCATATCATATGACAGCAGGAGCCACATGTACATATCATATCACAGCAGGAGCCACATGTACATATCATAAAACAGCAGGAACCACATGTACATATCATATGACAGTAGGAGCCACATGTACATATCATTTGACAGTAGGAGCCACATGTACATATCATATGACAGCTGGAGCCACATCTACATATCATATGACAGCAGGAGCCACATGTACATATATGACAGCAGGAGCCACATGTACATATAATATGACAGCAGGAGCCACATGTACATATCATATGACAGCAGGAGCCACACGTACATATCATATGACAGCAGGAGCCACATGTACATGTACATATGACAGCAGGAGCCACATGTACATATCATATGACAGCAGGAGCCACACGTACATATCATATGACAGCAGGAGCCACACGTACATATCATATGACAGCAGGAGCTACATGTTCATTTCGTATGGCAGCAGGAGCCGCACGTACTTATCATATGACAGCAGGAGCCACATGTACATATCGTATGACAGCAGGAGCCACATGTACATATCGTATGACAGCAGGAGCCACACATACATATCGTATGACAGCAGGAGCCACGCGTACATATCGTATTACAGCAGGAGCCACACGTACATATTGTATGACAACAGGAGCCACACATACATATCGTATGACAGCAGGAGCCACACGTACATACTGTATGACAGCAGGAGCCACACGTACATATCATATGACAGTAGGAACCTCCGGTTCAGTCAGTTAGCATAGAATATGAGACAGTAGAAGATTTACATAAAGATAATTTTGGCAGATCATAGGACCGGACTAAATATGTGTGCAGACAGTTAGAGTGTACCATAAAATAGTAGTAGGAACTTTGTTTTCTATGTTTGTAGACAGTTAGCCTTGGTCCAACATAGAGGACTTTTTTCAAAAGTGACCTTAGCTCTCAGGTTGACCCAACTTTAAATGAGAAACAGGTAAAGTCCTGAGAAATAAAGGAGACAAGCATGATTCACCCACTGAGTACCGATTGGTCTATAAAATATAGGTCTGCCCGGTATGCCTAAAGTTGTGGACAAGAGTCCTTTTCTTTACTTTTTGTTTTATAGAATACATATTGAGGAATCTAGTTCTTTTATTCACTTACATTTTTAGCATAGTATCAACTGTCTATTATTGTCGGAATTATGCAAGGAGGTCATGTTTAGCCTGTGAATTATAGAAACACATAGCTAGTACAGTTGCCACTAACTTTTTGTTTTATAGAATACATATTGAGGAATCTAGTTCTTTTATTCACTTACATTTTTAGCATAGTATCAACTCTCTGTTATTATCGGAATTATGCAACTTTTTATGGTGGGGGAAGGAGGTCATGTTTAGCCTGCGAATTATAGAAACACATAGCTAGTACAGTTGCCACTAACTTTTTGTTTTATAGAATACATATTGAGGAATCTAGTTCTTTTATTCACTTACATTTTTAGCATAGTATCAACTCTCTGTTATTATCAGAATTATGCAACTTTTTAGGGTGAGGGAAGGAGGTCATGTTTAGCCTGCAAATTATAGAAACACATAGCTAGTACAGTTGCCACTAACTTTTTGTTTTATAGAATACATATTGAGGAATCTAGTTCTTTTATTCACTTACATTTTTAGCATAGTATCAACTGTCTGTTATTATCGGAATTATGCAACTTTTTATGGTGGGGGAAGGAGGTCATGTTTAGCCTGCGAATTATAGAAACACATAGCTAGTACAGATGCCACTAACTTTTTGTTTTATTTGTAAGATCTGGTTTATGACTTACTGATGCATTTAATTGTCTCTGTGTTCAACTTGTGTTTATCAAATAAGAATATTGCATAATAATAACTTGTATAGAACAGCCACTTACAAAACAAGTCTCATTTGTTAAGTGCAAGATTGTTTTACCAAAACTGACATTTCTGATGTGACCTGTTTTTATGGACAGGCAGTTCCTCACCTGGCCCTCTGTCGGGTATGCTTATATTACATAATAAATAACATGTTACAGAATAACAGATTTTCTGTCTGTGTTCTGTTGCCAGTTCACATATTCAAGTTGATTACAAGTGTGCCTACTAATGCTCTTTTTGAAATACCATAACACAATACTTTCTATTTTGGTAAGAAAGTATTTATAAGAATTCCTGAAGGGCAAAGAAATAAGAGAAATGAATGGACAATCACGTGTATCAACAGTTATAAGACAAAGAACATGGCTGTATGTAGGGCATGTCATGAAGAGAAGCAGACAGAGAAATTGCAGTCAGGCAGTGAAATGGGAAATAAATGATTAGGGATCCCAAAGAAAAATGCTAAGACAAGCATTATTTATAGAGGTCAAAGTGCTGGACTGGATTGCATCCATTATAAGACGAGAGTGGTGTACTAGATTCTATCCATCATCAGACCAGAGTGCTGGGCTGGATTTCATCCATCATAAAACCAAACTGCTGGGCTAGATTCCATCCATCATAAGACCAAACTGCTGGACTGGATTCCATCCATCATAAGACCAAACTGCTGGGCTGGATTTCATCCATCATAAGACCAAACTGCTGAGCTGGATTTCACCCATCATAAGATCAAACTGCTGGGCTGGATTCCATCCATCATAAGACCACACTGCTGGACTGGATTCCATCCATCATAAGACCAGAGTGCTGGACTGGATTTCATCCATCATAAGACTAAACTGCTGGGATGGATTTTATTCACCATAAGACCAAACTGCTGGGCTAGATTCCATCCATCATAAGACCAGAGTGCTGGGCTGGATTCCATCCATCATAAGACCAGAGTGCTGGGCTGGATTCCATCCATGATAAGACCAAAGTGCTGGACTGGATTCCTTCCATCATAAGACCAGAGTGCTGGACTGGATTCCATCCATCATAAGACTAATGTATTGAACTGGATTCTTTTCATCATAAGACCAATGTATTGGACTAGATTCTTTTCATCATAAGACCAATGTATTGGACTGGATTCCTTCCATCATAAGACTAATGTACTGGACTGGATTCCTTCCATCATAAGACCAATGTACTGGACTGGATTCCTTCCATCATAAGACCAAAGTGCTGGACTGGATTCTTTTCATCATAATACCAATGTATTGGGCTGGATTCCATCCATCATAAGACCAATGTACTGGACTGGATTCTATCCATCATAAGACCAAAGTTCTGGACTGGATTCCTTCCATCATAAGATCAATGTACTGGACTGGATTCCTTCCATCATAAGACCAATGTACTGGACTGGATTCCTTCCATCATAAGATCAATGTACTGGACTGGATTCCTTCCATCATAAGACCAATGTACTGGACTGGATTCCATCCATGATAAGACCAAAGTGCTGGACAGGATTCAATCTAACATAAGACTAGAGTGCTGGGCTGGATTCCTTTGATCATATCGGTAAGATTCTGAGGATAGAATGGAGTGGACAATTATACTGCAAGCCTTTGGTGACATGCAGCCGCACAATAGGATGATAAAATATTTTATGTCTGTTTTATGTTCCAAGTTCAAATATTCAAGTTGATTACATTTGTTTATACTAACATTTTTTTAATGTAACTGAATATTTTCTGCTTTGCTGAGAAATTCTGTTCTTGTGGATCCTTTCTTAGCCTGTGCTAACCAAAGTCTTAGGCATCCACAGGATGTTTGTTAAAGCATTTAGAACAAAAATAAGCATATTTATCTGTTAGTGTTGTTTAGTTTTAAATCAGGGGTTTGTATAGTGAAATGATAAAGCTGTTTGCCTCATACACAGTTGTTTGCACTCTGACAGTTTTTAGCTTTTGTCATTTGCTTTGCGAATGCAGGTATTTAGAGATCCCAGGCATTTTCACTGAATTGTTGAGTAAGTGCTATGGGCAACAACATTATTTGTTCATCTAGTTACTCAGCTGAGAGTGACCAACATATATGGTGAAACGCAGTGCAGTGAAGTTGATATTCTCACCTTTAAGTGCCCTAAATTCTAAATAAAGCATAGACTTTATATAAAAACCAAACTCTGCATAGATTTTGTGGTGCTGAAGGATTTTAGATATTGTTAACGAAAGAGTTAATATATTTACATTGGACATAGGTTCAAATTCACATTAAATGGGATATTTTTATTAAGGGTCTCCTTGGGTGAGTGGTGAAGCCATTTGCCTCGTAATCTGATTATGGGCTAATTTCACGGCTGCATCTTTCAGTTCACAAGTGCATCTTGTACAGAGTCTACCAAGAATTATCCCCAGTGCTACGGTGTTCATGCTTTGTGCAACACTCTCAGCAGAGGGCTGACTAATCTGCAGAGAGAAACTGAACATATGGGATAAAACCCGTTGCAGTGAAGCCGATCCTCTAGACTTTATCTTGACTCGATCCTCTTCCTTTTTTAACAGTGACTAACAAGCATAATCCTTTGTTTCTGCTTTACTTGTCTCCATGGTTATTTTTTTTTTTTTTTGAATCATAAGACTGTACAAGTATAATTTAAACCTTATCTTGCAGAAAGTCGTTTGATGTTTTAACAAGAGTATATGGATGAGTATCAGCACGTGAGATGCAAATAGGGGAAAATTGAGAGTGAGAAGCAACAAGTGAAATTCCTAATTTGTTTAAATCATCACTAATTACTGCCTTCACTAGGAATAATCGACTGTTATGGTTGAGGTATCTAGTGAGAATGGCAGAGAAAAGAGAAGTCAAAATTGTTTACACCAAAAAAGTTGAATGGGACTGGACCAGGAGGCAGACCAAGAAATCGAAGAGATAATGTTTGGGCAGTCCTGTGGACACGTGGAGTCATCAACTGGAAGGGGAAAGCCAGTCACAAAGATTAATGGAGGCATGTGATAGTTAGTTGCATATCCTGACAGGACGTTGTAGATCAGACGCCAGAATTTTTGGGCTGTTGTGGTTTTTCTAGGCATATTTTACGTTCATTAGTTTGCCATTGTTTTCTGAACGGTCATTTCTTAGTACCACTATCGAAACCAGCGCAAGACAATTCATCCGCAGCTGGGATTTAATCTGGTACTCTGGCATTATGAAGTGCATTCACAATGCCTAAGCCACAGACGCAGAGACAAGGCGTGTGGTATCGGCAGTATAAAAAAATTTAAATAAAGATTGGTACTTTTCTTCTTCTACTTTGTTCATCCAAAGGTGTAATTATGTTGTGCACTTTTACAGCATAGCCATGATGTTTATGCTCACACACAAATTCATTATGTCAAATGTACGCTGAACTTTTACTTCACATAAAGTAGCACAGAACAGTCATCTTCTTCTTTAGCATTCTGAGCCCTTGATGTTTACTACTGCAGACTGTTTTTGAAAACCTGTAATAAGGCCTCATCTTTTTAATTTCTGCTTCAAATTTCAGAGCCATATAAAATGACTGGTCTTATCAACGTTTTATATATTTTGATCTTGGTTTTGCAAGACAGACACTTTGACTTTAGCAGATGTTGAAGGGCATAGTATACTTTATTTCTAGATTGTGTTCTAGATTGTATTTCTTCTCTCAGCATGTTGGAGCAGTTAAAGTTTGCATCCAAGTACTTATATGTTTCCATTGGTTTTTTTTTTCATATTATCGACTTGGATGTGGCCGGAGTTTATATTCTTTCCATGTCTAGTTAGTATTCGTACAGAATAGTAAAAAAAATTTTTTTATTTATATTTTGCATCCTTCAGTCGGTCTGTGGTAACTAATAACTAGGAATGAAAGAATCCTAAGTATTATAACAAGTAACTAAACTTGGAAATTGTCACTGACAGCTTAGTTAATGCATGAAAGCTGCATTAGCTTTCAACAAAACCAATCATTCCATGTTGTCAGTATTAAGGCCATGTATGCAGAAGCGGGTGTAAGGTAACTACTATTCATATTCGGCCCGACCGCAACTATTCCGCCAAATACTGAAGCGAATATGAAGCGAATATTCGGTACAGCCCTAGTTGGAACTCTGCTGTGGCTACTGGATGTGAGGAAGGAGAACTGATAGGCATGTACAAAGTGCTGTGATGTCAGCTCTTCACTTATCTCAGCTCTGTACTATGAAAGTGTTATAGTAACAACTACCTAGACCTAAAAGAGTTAAAAATCTCACTGTTAATTTCAAAGACCTAAAAGAGTTAATCATCTCACTGTTAATTACAACATTCCCCAAACAATTCTTCTGGATCTTGACATGACACATCAGCTTAGTGCCAGGTTGGCTTTAAACTCTTCACCTGGCAAGCAGCACTACATTAGTAAGGTATTAAAGGATAAGCCAGATTTAAAAGAACATTTTTGTATACTGATAGTAAACTATCACTTCCTTGTTTTGTGATTGGTTGGCTTCAAAAATTGTAATTGGAGATTTTGTATGACTGTTCATATTTATTTAGTGATCAATCTGCTTTATGTTCTTGTAGTGAAAGTATTTTAATTTTTGTGTGCTAATACTGAGTTTTAAAAAATGTTATATAAAAATAGCAACATACTCATGTGGTAAAACTTATTCTTGTACTAAATGTAAAGTAGAGGTAGAAAGAGTTGAATTAACTAATGATCCTTTAATGAACAGCAGTCAAATAAACTTTCCATGACTCTTAAATTGATAGGAATCATGTACCAGGCTGATATACTGAATGCTCTATGAGAAGTAAGGTGTTTGAAATTACCAAGTGACTGTGAATCAGCAATTATGACCAGACTGCAAGACCAGCAAGTTAAAAAGAGTGTAGCCAGACAAAATCACTGTGTAGGAAGCCAAAGATTAAAAAGAAACCAACACAGGACGGGTATCATCAACGGCTACATTCTGCAGGGATTTACTGAGATGGGGATCTGAACACTTATGGACTGAATGGTTCAGTGTACAGTGAGGAAAATCTGTCAACTAATTAACTAACTTCAGGGCCGTTGTAGTGTAGCATTAGACACTCCCATGAGGATTGGAAGGTTGCGGGTTGGGTCCTGACGATGCCGGACTTTTTCTTTTCAGAAATGACCTTGACTCCCAGGTTAACTCAGCCTCATTATTAATTTTTGAAAATAATCATTTTATAAAATACACAAAGATAACTTAAATGTGCTATGAGCTGAACATTGCTTTCTTAAGGATCCATTAAAAAGTTGAATACAATGAAAATATTGATTGATGTAACTAATTAGTCAAAAGAGTGACAGAAATATTTGAAAGCTGTTATGGTTTTTTTTTTTTTTCAAAGTTGATTTGTATTGCTCAGAGTTGCTGATGATGTTTATGACAGTGATGGTGTGATGATGTTTGTGACAGTGATGGTGTTTGTGGCAGTGATGATGTTTGTGACAGTGATGGTGTGATGATGTTTGTGACAGGGATGGTGTGAGGATGTTTGTGACAGGGATGGTGTGATGATGTTTGTGACAGTGATGGTGTGATGATGTTTGTGGCAGTGATGGTGTGATGATGTTTGTGGCAGTGATGGTGTGATGATGTTTTTGGCAGTGATGGTGTGATGGTGTTTGTGGCAGTGATGGTGTTTGTGACAGTGATGGTGATGGTGTGATGATGTTTGTGACAGTGATGGTGTGATGATGTTTGTGACAGTGATGATGTTTGTAACAGTGATGGTGTTTGTGACAGTGATGGTGTGATGATGTTTGTGACAGTGATGATGTTTGTGGCATGTGACAGTGATGATGTTTGTGGCAGTGATGGTGTTTGTGGCAATATTCTCTAAATATATAATATTCTCTAAATATATAATATTCTGTAAATATATATTTCACTGCGGCTCTGAATTAGTTAGCTGAAAATAGATTGACCCATAGAATCTTAGTATATGATTATCAGTCAGAACTGTGGAGGGAGCAGTTTTGATGTAATGAGGCATCTGTGATTATCAAATATCAACAGAACAATATTCAGTCAATCGGTCAGGTGCTGTCTCTACAGCAATGGTTGGCTGCAATGGATCTCCAGCATGCTCTGGATCTTGTCTTAATTTTACACTCTTGGAAACTCTTGTTCTTTCATATTTTGATGTTATCCTTCCACTTGAATCATTGTCTGCCTCTCTTACCATCCATGTTTCCCTTCAGTTTGATTTTTTAATGTGGCCAAAGTATTTAAGTTGTTTCTTTTGTCAGTAACTCGCTTTTCATTTGCAGTATTTCCAGAACCTCTGATTTGTTTTTTGTATCCAACACAAAGTTACAGGAATGTAGATGTACTGTCCACATGTGCCCCTGTATATGGGCAAGGCGTCCTTACCTGCATAGGCTGGTTAGCCATTTTTGAGAGGCGTAATTGTAACGGTTGAACGTTGTGCCTGGTATCTCCCTTGTTGGTCTGCCATCCAGATCAATATTTTTAAAACTCAGGATAGTATGATAACCTTTTAGAAGCAGCCCAGAGGAGACAAACTGATTGATCAATCATTGAACCATTGTGGTCGGGGTAATGAAAAAAACAGATTTGCTGTGGAAGATGCATCTATGGGTGTGCCCAGTATGCTACGATGTCGAGTCTTAGATCAGTAACCACAATTCAAAATATATATGTGAATTGTTGTTGTTATGATGATGGTGGTCATGTCCAGTATTCTCAGAATCTTTTGACCACACAGAGCAAGATGATACATCTGATCTACCAGACAACTCAAATGCCACAGAGGATGGAACCCAAGTTGCTGATGATGTTGATGACAATGATGACATTGAGCCTAAACCACCTCTCAGGTAATTTTTGCAAGTTAGTTACTTATCCTTTGGAGGCTATTTCAAACCAGCTTGGCTGTCTGTGGTTTTACTTAGCAGTTGTATACATTCAGTAGTTTACCATTATATATGTTGGTAATTGCAGACAGACAGAACAGTGGAGTGAAGCAGGGATGTGTACTTGCTCCTACCCTCTTGCTTTTTTTGAAACATGCCTTTCGAGATCAGGAAGGTGGTGTATTAATCCATTCTTGATCTTACGGGGCAGCCTTTACAATGCTCGTAGGCTAAAGGCCAAAACCAGGATAAGAAAGGTACTTATCATAGAGTTGCTGTTTGCAGATGAAAGGAGGAGCTGCAATGTTTACTGTATGCTTTTGGACTAATAATCAACAAAAAAGAAGACAAATATTATGGTGCAAGGTGTTAATGAAGGACCTGCAGTCTACATTGATGGTGAAGAGCTGCAGACATTTGACCAGTTTACCTATCTGGGATAAACAGTGAGTTGCAAACAATCACTGGACGAAGAAATCCTCAGGATAGGTAAGGCAGCAACAACAGTGAGCAGATTAACAAAAAGAGTCTGCCACAACAGAAAGCTCATGATTAACACAAACTTTTTTGTCTGTGGGTCTTTTGTACTCACCACTCCTTTTTATGGCAGTGAAACGGGTGGAGGATGGGGGGTGGGGAGACTTATTTTTGGCGGCAGAGATTTTTGTTTTAAGAAGAATGCGAAGAATATCATGGAGGGATAGAAAAACCAAATGAAGCAGTCCTCATGAAGACAGATGAAAGTTAGAAACTTTAGAAAGTTAGAACAGTTATCTGTAGACAGTCAGTGTGTTTTGGACATGTTATAAGATGGAATGGACTTGAGAACTTGGAAAGAGAGCAAA